AAAAAAAAAAAAAAAAAAGGAAAAAGGAAAAAATTAGAACAGACTGCTGCACTCATAGATGAGTGCCTAGTCCAGTTGTCACCAGAGAGGCTTCCTCCAGCAGCTGATGGGAGCCGATGCAGAGACCCCCACCCAAACATTAGACAGAGCTTGGGGAACTCTGCAGAAGATGGGGAGGAAGGATTATAGAAGTCAGAAGGGTTGAGGACACCAGGAGAACACGGTCCACAGAATCAGCTAAGCTGGGCTCATAGGGGTTCACAGAGACTGAAGCAACAATCAAGGAGTTTGCATGGGTGCTAGGTCTTCTTCACACACTCTGTGCTAGTTTAGCCTGGGGTGTTTGTGAGAGTGAGAGTGGAGGTGTAATAGAAGTAAGCTTTCTGTCAGTGTACATTGGGTTTGCCTGTATGTATGTCTGTGTGAAGGCCTGTATGTATGTCTGTATGAAGGCCTGTATGTATGTCTGTATGAAGGTGTCAGGTCTCCTGAAACTGGAATTGCAGGTGGTTATGCTGCCATGTGGGTGCTGGGGATTGAACCTGAGTCCTTTGGAAGAGCAGTCAGTGCTCTTAACCTCTGAGCCATCTCTCCAGCTCATGTTTGACCCTTTTATCTGCTCTTGGGTTTCTTTTTCTTCGACTGGGTTGCCTCTCCAGCTTAGATATGAGGGTTTGTGCTTAGTCTTGCTGCATCTCTTAGTTAGATTTTTATTGCTGTGAAGAGACACCATGTCCACAGCAACTTTTATAAAGAAAACTTTTTGTTTGTTTGTTTTTTTCGAGACAGGGTTTCTCTGTGGTTTTGGAGCCTGTCCTGGAACTAGCTCTGTAGACCAGGCTGGTCTCGAACTCACAGAGATCCACCTGCCTCTGCCTCCTGAGTGCTGGGATTAAAGGCGTGCACCACCACCACCTGGCTAAAGAAAACATTTAATTGGGGTGGCTCACTAACAGTTTCAGAGGTTCAGTCATTATCATCATGTTGGGGGGCATGGCAGCATGCAGGCAGATGTGGTGCTGGCTACATCTTGACTGACAGTCACACCGAGAGAAGCTTGAGCAAGAGAGACCTCAGAGCCCATACCCACAGTGCTGCACTTCTTCCAGCAAGGCCACACCTCCTAATAGTGTCACTCCCTTTGGGGGGCCATTTTCTTTCAGACAACCACACTTGTGCTGTGTTCTGTTGATATCACTGGGAGACCTGCTTTGTTTCTGAAGGGAAAGGGAGGAACAGTGGGAGCTGGGAGGAGGAGAAGGGGGGACTCAGGCAGGAGGAGACGGGAAGTAGCGACTGGAAGGAGTGGAGGGAGGAGAGGCTATGAGAAAAAAATAAATAAAAAAGAAACATGAAAACAAATTGGAATAGAGTGCTTGCCAGACTAAGGTCCTTTTTGTACAAAGGGTACTAACAAAAATTACCTGCATCTGCCACAAATACAAACCCATCTGAGTATAAGTCACTGACGCACAGCTGCTGAGTCGGGTGATAAATTTGGGAGATAGTGCCATCTTAAAAATTTTTTAAGATACAGGATAAACAAGGAAATATGAACCTTTTAAATACTAGTATTGGATTTTTTTTAAAAAAAAATTTTTGTAAGTGCCTGGCTTGATTTTTCTATTTGAAGATCCTTGCCAGTGTTCTCCTACCCCAAACCAGTCTGCCTTCTATTTTTGCAAGTTTTAGGTTAAAGATCACATTGCTGAATCTTACCCTGGGCCTTTTACTAGCTTGTCCTTGGGTACATTCCCAGAGTGGCAGGATGGTTGAACAGGTAAAGGGGATGTCCTCTAAGCCTGAGGATTCACATGGTGGAAGGAGAGAACCAACTCCCACGTGTTGTCTTCTGACCTGTGTGCCCTGGCGTGCACCGCACGCACGCACACATGCGTACAGTTTTTAGTGAACTATCGTCTCACTCTGACTTGTGTTTTATTCATGGCATCACAAGTACTTTGTGTGCAGTGTTCATTTGTGCTGCTGCACTATCACCTGTGTGAGTGTGGTCCCCGTTCATGGCCAGGCTTCGCTTTCTTCCCATGTAAATAACTGGAAATTTTATATCATAAATACAGTCTTAGGCATGATTTATGTTTGCTTTTTAGGTTAAAGAAAGGCCTGATGTGGGAGTGTATATCAAAGATTTATCCGCTTATGTGGTCAATAATGCTGACGATATGGATAGAATCATGACACTAGGCCACAAGAATCGTAAGTGTGCTTCGTAACTGTGATGAAATGCCTGTATTCGAATGCTGGTTAAGAAGCAAATAAACACAGCTTTTGCCCAGTAGAGGTTGCATTTTTTAAAAGTCCATTCTTTTTATTTACTATCCAGGGAGCATATGTGAGTGAACAATAGCATAGAGTGTTTTTATGCTGACTGAAGCTTTCTTTTCATTAATACCAGCCTTCTCCTTTCTTCCTTCCTTCATTTCTTCCTTCCCTTTTCTTCCCTTCCCTTTCCTTCCTTATTTATTTATTTAGAGGCAGGGTCTTACTGTCCTAATAAGACTTTATTTTATTTTTTTGTTTATTTATTTTTTTGAGATAGGGTTTCTCTGTGTAGCTTTGGAGCCTGTCCTAGAGCTTACTCTGTAGACCAGGCTGGCCTCGAACTCACAGAGATCCGCCTACCTCTGCCTCCTGAGTGCTGGGATTAAAGGCATGCAATACCACCACCCAGTGACTTTATTTATTTTTATTTTATATATATGAGTATGTTGCCTGTATGCATGTAAGTGTACCACATATATGCATTGCCCACAAAGGCCAGAAGAGGGCATAAGATTTCCTGGCACTGGAGTTAAAGGTAATTGTGATCAGTTGTGCGAGTGCTGGACCCAAACCCAGGTCCTCTGCAGAGCAGTAGATACTCTTGACTGCAGAGCCATCTCTCCAGCCTCTCTTTTTCTTCATTTTTTTGTGTTCTTGATATAGGATTCTTTACATAGCCTTGGCTGTCCTGGAACTCACTGTATATACTCTGTATACCAGGCTGGCCTTGTATTCACGGAGATCCGCCTGTTTCTACCTTCTAAGTGCTAGTATAAAAGGTGTGTGCCACCAGGCCCAGCTCTCCAGCCTTTAATAGTGCCAGGCTTTGAAGCTGCCATACTGTTAGAGCTTGCTAGTTAAAATACAGCATTTTGTTTGAGCACTTAGTGGGAAATGCTTGTGCCGTGTGCTTTATCGGGATGATCAGTCTTCACTGTAGTCGGTGGGGATATAAAGTTCCTCCTTTATGAATGAGGAAACTGAGATGTAGTTTAAATACCATGTCTAAGGTGGTAGGGGGAGAGTTAGCTAGACTATATACCGCTTCCCTTCTGTTGAAAAGAAAAGCAAAATTAAACCAACATTTTCTTCTTCTATAGTTGTTATAGATTTCTCATCTAAAAAATAAAAGTCTTGCCAGCTATGATGGCATATACCTTTCTTTAATCCCAGTTGACACAAACTGTGGGTGGCCTGCTCCTAGATCTGCTCAGGGTAGCCAAGAGAATGCCTCAGAGTAGCAGGGACAGGAAAGATTCTGATCTGACTTTTCTATCTGGGGAAACACATGCTTTCTGCTGGTAGCTTAATAAGAAAGGAACTTCAACTTAAATAATCTGTTTCTTGACAGTCTCTCTTTACATAATTCATCCCTGTCCTGCTGAGTTACATATTTTATATTCAGTTACATCTCTTTACTGCTGCATATTTCTCTTGACACACACCCACTCTCACACTCATTCACTTACACACACTTCTGTATCGTTCTCTGACTCTCTCGTTACTCATCAGTCATTCATTTCCTCACACTTCTCTCACGCGTCCTCTCTTCATCTCTCACACTTCTCTCAGCCGTCTTTCTCTCTCTGCATTGCTGTCCTCTCCTCTCCCACAGACAAACTCTGGACAGTGAATTGTAAGTTACATTTTCAGGGCCTGACTCATACTCAAAACCCAAGATAAGTCATGTAGTTTCTCTTGGGCTAGGAATGTGACAGTGACTGGCCAGTGAGCAACTGTGGCTTTACACGTAGCTCTAAGCTGGTGAGGGTTCCCAGACAGTAAACAGTTGACTGAACCCTGAGGCTGGGGAGTACATGCAGACTAAAGTTGTTTCAAACTCTGGTCTTGATTCAGTAAAACAACACCTGGGAAAACCTCATGTATTTGTCTCTAGGGACAACCAGATAGTCTCTAGGGGCAGCTAGCCTGCTTTGAATCTGCTCTGAAGTCTAAAGTTACAGTGTAAAAGGCTGTCTTTGTGACTGAGAACCCTGTGTCAGTCTGAGTAATGTAAAATATCCTAGTATTATTTCTGTTCATCAGAATTATACCATAGTAGAAGTCATCTTCCTGACCATCCACAGCTATGTGTGCCCAGTGGATGGAATATTTTCATGAGATAAACACACAAGCAGTGGGAATGCACCCAAAGCTGTTCTTAGGGAAGAAATGAAGTGACTCATGAGAAACTACAGACAGGAGCATTGGTTTGCAGAGCTGGTGACCCCATGGCCTTTCTAGATGAGTTGGCTTGTTAAACACTAGTTAGTTGTCACTGCTGTACACGCCCATGGCCTTCCACACCCAGTGTTCAAGAGGCGGAGGAGATGGAGGCCAGCTTTGTCTACAGAGGGGAGTTTTAGACCAGACAGAACTGTCTTGCCCACACTGGCCTCAAGCTTGTGATCCTCCTGCCTCAGCCTCCTAAGTACTAGATTAAAAGAATGAACCTCTACACTGATTGCTTAGTTTGTGTTAAAATTTTTGTTTGTTTACTTTTGATTTTAGCAAAAGTCTCACAGGTAGTTCTGGTTGGCCTACAACTTGATATATAGATGAACCTGGCTCACAGAGTTCCATCTGCTTCTGCCTCCTAAGCATTGAGATTAAAGACATGCACCATCCATGCCAAACTCTTCATGGTTTAACAAAGTTCCTGTGGAATTGGCATCTTTTAATGCTACTGGATATGGATCTACCCCGTGTGTGTGTGTGTGTGTGTGTGTGTGTGTTTTAAAGATTTATTTTATTTATTATATATACAGTGTTCTGTCTGCATGTTTGCCTGAAGGCCAGAAGAGGACACCACATCTCATTACAGATGGTTGTGAGCCACCATGTGGTTGCTGGGAATTGAACTCATGACTTCTGGAAGAGCAGACAATGCTCTTAACCTCTGAGCCATCTCTCCAAACCCACATCACGTTTTTAATGACCGATTAGTGACTTAACTATTCTATAGTAGATTAAACAATATTGTATTGGATCTTTCTGGTCTCGCTGTTTTTAATAGTGTTGTACTGATTTCTAATGTGTGTGTGTGTGCAAATCAGTCTGTGGTTTAGAGTCCCAAACAAAATTCTCTCTGGAAAGAGTTGTCAGCAATTCTTTTCCCATTTATTTATCTATTTATTTGTTTGTTTGTTTATTATATATACAGTGTTCTTGTCTGCATGTATGCCTGCAGGCCAGAAGAGGGTGCCAGATCTCATTACAGACGCTGAGGGGCTGAGGATAACTTAGTTGGTAGAGTGCTTATCTAGCCTGCACAGAGTCCTGGGTCAATCCCCAGCACTCCATAAGCTGGGTGTGGTGGTGCAGGAGGTGGAGAGATCAAAGTTCAAGGACAGCCTGGGCTACAGAACACCCTGTGGAAACAAAACAAAAAAAGTAAACATAAAGGCATTCTGTTCCAGTTTTTAAGGGTTTCTTTTCTTTGTTATAGGTTCTGTTGGTGCAACTAACATGAATGAGCACAGTTCAAGGTCCCATGCCATCTTTACAATTACTATAGAGTGTAGCGAGAAAGGTGTTGATGGAAACATGCACGTCAGAATGGGGAAGCTCCATCTTGTGGATCTCGCTGTAAGTAACAGGACGCTACTTTTTCCCCTAAAGATTGATTTACTTATTATGTATACAGTGTTTTGCCTGCATGTGTGCTTGCAGACCAGAAGAGGGCACCAGATCTCAATACAGCTGGTTGTGAGCCACTATGTTAGCACTGGGAATTGAACTCAGCACCCTTGGAAGAGCATTCAGGGCTCTTAACCTTTGAGCCATTTTTCTAGCCCACAGGATGTTACTACTTAAGGGAGAGTTTTTCCTGTGCTCCAGTTATCTGTTAATAAAAATTAAAGCCAAAAGGCATGGTGTACATGTGATTTTAAATTGCTTATTATTGTGGGATATCTGACAGTAGATATAGTAGCATTATGACTGCGCTTTTTTTCACCTACTGCCTAGACTTTTTTGTCTATTCTTCCTTCTTCCCTTATTTTTTTGAAGTGAATTCCAGATGCTACATGGAATATTTTAAATTACTTTTAAAAACCCAGATTTTAGAAAAGTACTTCTTGGTTTAAAAAAAAAAAACTTTAGCTTTTATCTGTTTATTGCTAGGGGTCAGAAAGACAAGCGAAAACTGGAGCCACGGGACAGCGCCTCAAGGAAGCTACAAAAATCAACCTTTCACTCTCCACCCTGGGCAATGTCATCTCTGCCTTGGTGGATGGAAAAAGCACGCATGTGCCATATCGGAACTCTAAACTGACGCGTCTTCTGCAGGATTCCTTGGGAGGGAACTCAAAAACCATGATGGTAAGACTTCAGTCATGGCATAGTTAATTTGTCTAAGGCAAATTTAAGATTCTAATTTATTTCCATAATTGATGTGAATAGCATTTTACAAATCAATTCCTTTTCTTTGTGTATTACAAAATGTAATTGCCTGTGGTTGTATTGTTTCCATACCTATATGATTGATACTGGTTTTTCGAAGACCAAACTGTCTATCTAGTTTGGGCATTTGTTTTGGTAATGATGATATTAGTAGCTGTGTAGAATGATTTACGTTTCTAATTCAACAGTGTGCAAATATTGGGCCAGCAGATTATAATTACGATGAAACCATCAGTACCTTGCGGTATGCCAACCGAGCCAAGAACATTAAAAACAAAGCAAGAATTAACGAAGACCCTAAGGATGCTCTGCTTCGTCAGTTCCAGAAAGAAATAGAAGAGCTGAAGAGAAAGCTTGAGGAAGGTAACTTCTCACAAAGCTTACTGTAGCTGAGGCTTGCTGGTGACCACTGCATTTACTTCCAGAACAACCTGCCAAGCAATAGCCTCTAGCATTGACATTTAAGGTATCTACGCATGTGCATCTGTGTATGTTGGACGTGTGTGAGTGCAAGCACATTCATGCCATGGTGTATGTGTGAAGGTCAGAGGACGCCTGTGGGAGCTGATTCTCTCTTGCATTATGGTTTTTGGGATTGAACTCATGTCAGACTTAGAGGGCAAATATTTTACCTCCTGAGCCCTTTGTTAGATTGTAATATTGACATTTAAAAATACTATTTCTGAGGAATATGAGTCTTCTAAGAAAATGTTTTTTTTTTTCCTTTTTTTCTTTTTGGTTTTTCGAGACAGTTTCTCTGTGTAGCTTTGGAGCCTGCCCTGGAACTAGCTCTATAGATCAGGCTGGTCTCAAACTCACAGAGATCTGCCTGCTACCTCAGCCTCCTGAGTGCTGGGATTAAAGGCATGCACTACTATTGCTCGGCAAGAAAATGTTTTCTTTTTTTTTTAAATATTTATTTATTATGTATACAATATTCTGTCTGTATGCCTGTAGGCCAGAAGAGGGCACCAGACTCCATTACCAATGGTTGTGAGCCACCATGCGGTTGCTGGGAATTGAACTCAGGACCTTTGGAAGAGCAGGCAATGCTCTTAACCTCTGAGCCATCTCTCCAGCCCCCAAGAAAATGTTTTCTAAGACCATCTAGATTACAAAGTTTGAAGTCCCAGCCCCTGATGGTGGTGGCGGCTGTTCACGCCTTTATTCTCAGCACTTGGGAGGCAGAGGCAGGCCAATCTCTGAGCTCGAGGCCAGAGTGAGTTCCAGGACAGCCAAGGCTACACAGAGAAACTCTGTCTTGAAAAAACAAAACAAAACAAAAACAGGAAAGTTTGAAGTCCGACTGATGGTGATGAGGAGCTTCCTGATCAGTTCTGGAACTCCCACGCCAATAACAGGGGGATGAACCCTCTCTGACTGGTGTAGACTCCCTGTACAGCAGGTGAAGGGCCTGGAGTCTAAGCCATTGGAGTCTCTGGGGGAAGACTCAGAGACCACTGGTGTGTCTGGGGGAAAAAGCCTGAGAACCACTTCACAGATAGTAAAATTGTGTTTTTAAATGGCCACTAGGTGGCATTTGTAGCCAGTTTGTTTTTAAGATCTTTTATTCCCCTAGTTAGTGCTGAATGCATGCCTTCATTTTGATGATTTCATTTCCTTCCCCTCTCTCTGCTTCTCCCTTCCTCCCTCCTTCCTTTCCTCCCTCTTTCTCTCCTTCTCCTTCTCCCCAGGGTATCTCTCAGTAGCCCTGGCTGTACTGGAACTCACTATGTAGACCAACCAGGCTGGCCTCAAACTCAAAGATCCACCTGCTGTCTCTGCTTCCCAAGTGCTGGGATTAAAGTCGTGCACCACCACCACCAGGAGTTCTCTTAGTTCTTGTGATGGTGTGGCTGTGCACATTGGGTAGACATGTTCCAGTCCCTGTGTATGTGCTGGGCACGCAGCCAGAGGTAGTCGTGTAGTCATATTCTGTGATGCGTTCCACTTCATTTTTATTCTTCTGACCCTATGTTCGGTAGGCAAAGGCATTAAAGGACTTTTTTTTTTTTAAATATTTATTTATTTATTATGTATACAATATTCTGTCTGTGTGTATGCCTGCAGGCCAGAAGAGGACACCAGACCCCATTACAGATGGTTGTGAGCCACCATGTGGTTGCTGGGAATTGAACTCAGGACCTTTGGAAGAGCAGTCAATGCTCTTAACCACTGAGCCATCTCTCCAGCCCCTGTTTTTGTTTTTTTTGAGACAGGATTTCTCTGTTTCACAGCTCTCGCTGTTCTAGAACTTGCTTTATAGGCCATGCTAGTCTCGAATTCACAGAGATATGTCTGCCTTTGCCTCCTGAGTGCTGGGATCAAAGTACTCCACCACCACCCAGCTAATTACCACATTTTTAAAAATGCAAATGCTAGCACATAATCCTTGTGTATGTTTATACCTCTACTCACCATGTGTCAGATTTTAACTTCTCTTTCAGGACTGTAAAATAAAATTTATAACTAGGCATGAAGGTACACCTTTAACCCCAGCACTCAGGAGACAAATGCAGCCAGAATGCTGTGAGTTCCAGGCCAGCTGGAACTACATAGTTAGGTCCTGTCTCAAAAATTAATTTTTCTAAGAAAGTAAAATAAAATTTCTGTGTACATGTGTGGGAGGTTGCATGTGAATATGTGCATGTGTGCATGCTTAGAGACGAGGACAGAATGTGTCCAAATACTGTTCGTTGTTTCGGTGGGCGAGGGGAAGACAGGCTCTCTCGTGGACCTGGAACTCCCCAAGTATGCTGGGCTGGCTTGTCAGCAAACCCCAGAGATCACCAGTGTACACCTGCTTGTCAGGTACACTGTGAACATTTAGGTAGATTTTCAATTTGTTTGAGCAACAAAAATGTAATGAATTGAATGGATATAGGCATTTTCTAAATAGCCAGGGACTTGGTACAGACTAAAAATGGTTAACTTTCTCTCCAAGGGGAAGAAGTTTCAGGCTCTGACGTTAGTGGGTCGGAGGAGGATGATAATGAGGAGGGTGAACTTGGAGAAGATGGAGAGAAAAGGAAGAAGAGAAGGGGTAAGTTCTCTTCATGTTCTGATCGCTCACAGCTGGCTAGAATTGCTCCCTGATGATGTCCACTTTATCTTGGCATTTTTAACTATGGTGTTGGTTCCAGCAGGGAACTTATGCTATATATGGTTAACTTTGTAAACATTCTCTCTGGTTTGTTTTGCTTACCCAGGATGCCATATCGTCTCCTGTAAAATTTTAAGTTGTGAAACTGTGGTAGGAGATATACTGTCTTCCAGTTTTACATCTGTGTTAGGTCCCTATCGGTTTTTGAAACTAGGATAACGTGGGATTTTTCTTAAAGTGATGTTAGCTTTTAAAAATAATTTGCAGGTGGTGAGCTTGCGTGAGGAATACAGTTTTTCACTGAAGTCCATCCTTTTTTTTTTTAATTTTTTTTTTTTGTTTTTTTTTTTTTTTTTTAAGATGGTTTCTCTGTGTAACAGCCCTGACTGTCCTGGAACTAGCTCTTATAGACCAGACTGGCCTTGAACTCAAAGAGATCCTCCTGCCTCTGTCTCCCAAGTGCTGGGATTAAAGTCGTGTCCCACCCCTGCCTCCCCCCCCCCCCCACCACCAAGTTGTTTCTTTGTAAACTGTGTGGCATCCTCACCCTTTGGAGCAGCTTCCAGCATGAACTGCTTTGCTGAGGCTGCAGAGGGCAGAGAGAAAAGAAGGTCCCTGCCTCATTTCAAACCCCGAGCGCTCCTCAGCACCTGCAGGCTGCTGCACAGTCGTAATTAATCAGTCTTGGTGAAAACAAGCCCATCACTGCTCGGTGGGAGCCCAAATTAAAAACTGAAGATTTTGTACATCCAGAAGACAGAAAAAGCACCAAGTAGGACAGAAGTTGGCAGAGTACAGTGTGCTGGCCAAATCCATGTGGAGCCTTTTTTTTTTTTTTTAAGTGTTCTTAAAGCAGCCACAATCATTTGTTTACGTGTGATCTATGGCTCTTTCACATCAAAACATGTGACCTGGTCCTTTGCAAAAACTCTTTATCAGTCCCTGACTTAAAAAGTGTTTTTAGCTGGGTGGTGGTGACGCACGCCTTTAATCCCAGCACTTGGGAGGCAGAGGCAGACGGATCTCTGTGAGTTCGAGACCAGCCTGGTCTACAAGAGCTAGTTCCAGGACAGGCTCCAAAGCTATAGAGAAACCCTGTCTCGAAAAAACCAAAAAAAAAAAAAAAAAAGTGTTTTTATTCATAGCTAGTTTTTCAGAGTAAAATAATATTTTTTTTTGACTTGGACTGAGAGTAGACTTACTAAAAATAAATTTGTATAGAAAAAAGTGTCACGGTTTAATATGTTAAAATATTTTAAATATGTTTTAACTTGTGCTGAGAAGCTTAACATTTTTCTCTGAGCCTTGTTAATTATGCTGTCAGCTTTAGACATAAGTAAAATCTGGTAGCGTGTTTTGGGGGGATAGGGACTTGGAGACAGTGCCTTGTCTATAATTTCAGTAATGTGAATTGTGTGATTTTTTACATTTTAAAGCTGTTTCTTTTTCTTAGCAGTGTGTATAGACTTGCATGTCACTAGGTGACATTTTGGTCATTTCAACCCTCTGAATAATTATGTTCAGATGAGTAGTGGGGTTTGCACTACTGCGGATCTGTAAAGAAATGCAGTTATAATCCCGCATGGCTTTGTGACAAGGAAGCAGCTGGATTTAGTTGTAAGCTGGAGTGAGTCGCTCTTGAATGCAAAGCTTGATTGTCCTCTAAATTCTTCCTACAGAACTCAAGTTTTCTCTGTGTATTTTTGTTCATTTCTTGTTCCCTCTCTCTGGTTCCGTGGGCTCGTTTCTTTGTCTTCCAGGCAGTAGCAGCAGCAGTAGCTCAGACTCCACATGTTCTGTCATAGAGAAGCCTCTGGATGAGTTCTTGCCTCGTGAGTGGCGGCCCTCACCTTCTCTAACAGAGCTCTGGCTTCTCCATCACTCATGGGCTTCATTTGAGAGATGCTGCCCCACTCCCTGTCATGACTGGTTCATGTTGGGCTCCCAGGAGGAAAGCATGTGGCCCCACCCTGCCATGGCTTCAGTTAACTGTGAAACATAGGCCAGAGCCTATGTTTGAGACAGTGGAAGAAAGAATCATGCTTTTGCTGCTGAGATAATGTCAAGAGAGCCAGTGAGCTGTGTGAAAGAATAATTCTCAGGATTCTATTTTATGCTTCATTATATGTTTTTAATTCTGGTCAGTGTAAGAGATGTGAACAATACATCTTGAATCTCTACGAGTACAAATTAATGTTTGTTGGTGCAGCGGCGCCCAGTGTAACAGGCTGTGTGTGCTCCAAATAAAGGATGAGTGAAGCCTGAGGCAGGTGAAGAAGACGGAGTAGCGCTTCATCCCAACTGGATGCTTCCCCACTCCTAATACCGGTCAATTTTGAGACTCTTTCTGAGATGTGATTAGAAAATTCGGAGTCACACAGAGTGCATAAAGTCTGTCTAGACTTCTTTAGTCTTAGATATTTTTTTTAACTGTAAGTTAAAAAGCATTATTTAATTTTGTCTATTTCTACTTTCAGAAGAAAATGGAAGTGATGCTTGCTTTCACCACCTTGCAGCTTGCTGTCTCTTAAAGCATTATCTGTGTCCTTACCTTTTCCAGACTAATGGCAAAGGCCATTGCTTTTAGCTTTACTAGGGAAAATCTCAGGAATCTCAAGACACTGTGTCTGTTGACACTGTTGAAGCAAATTACCAGAACAGCTGACCTCACCTGATAATTTATAAAATACATGGAATTGTTCAGACACCACATAGAAGCACAGTTTTGTATTATAAACCGTGAAATAAGAGAAAATATATGAGAGGAATCATTGTAATTTAGTTTTCTGTTCTAACACTTACCATTCTTAGAGAGTAGTTATATGAAAGTAAGTTACAAAATGAGTTGTACCTTATTCAATTCAATACTTTTTTTTCCAATTCAAGAAGCTTTAATTGCTGTTTTCATACCTAGCATTTAGCTTTGTTGTCATAACATGGATGCGTTGGGGAAGTGGAGAGATTATCGTCCCAGCATGTGGTTGCTGTGTGTAACTTGTGTGTATTACCCCTCCCATTAAATATGAATGGCCATTCAATGTCCCTTGCTTGAATCATCAGCTGTCATTTATTTATCTAGTCATTATTTAATCACCCAGACCAATCAACACGTAGGCTGAATGTAAGTTTGCTACTATACAGGTGCACTTCATTTTACGTATTTAGAGAGAGCTGCTTACAAATCAAGTTAGGAAATAAAATATTGTGAACTTACTGCCTTTAAAATTCATTAACCCTGTTGTTAATCTCACGACCAGTATAAACTTGTGCAAAATAGTTTATCTGTGTAGTTACTTCAGGTCTACCTGGTGGATTTTCTTAAAATGGGGAACACCTGTAATGTGTCTTTATAGGAAAAACATTGAATTGGGAAATTTTGGAGATGGACAGTGAGAGCTTTGTTGATTTTAACTTGTGAATTTTAAAAATTGACTTCATTTTTGTTTTTGCCCTTTTAGATATTTTTGCAGGTCTCAGTAGGTTCCCAATTCCATGTCTGTAATCCATCAGCATATGCACTGAGCTGGTCCACTTGCAGGGGCACTGTGGGCACCTGGGACTGTGTGGGAGCCGCAGAGGGGACTGATTGCGTCTAGCATTCGTGGTGTCTTCTTATGGAACATGCTTTCTTTTTCTGTGGACTCTATTTCAGTTTTGATTATTTGATTCATGTCTTTGCTCATGCCAAGTGAATGCTGTTACACGTTTTCTCTGTTTTACAAAGGAAATAATGTTTTCCTTTCTTCCCTCCTCATCTCTGTGCACATGCTTCCTGTCTGCGACTCGCTTACCGCTTCTTTGCAAGACCAAGCAGGTTGGTGTGATTGGCTCGCACTCCACGTGGTGCAGCTACTCATTCTCTCAAGACCTTTTATTTAAGTTCTTCACATTTTTTTAATTTAATAATTTTTACAAGGTAAGTATCTGTCTTTTTTTTTATTCCATTTTAACTATTTTAAAAAACTTTCCCCCTAAATCCTTAATGATCTACTAAACCAATTTTTGAAAATACACTTATAATTTGACATTCAGGCCAAGAGTCCACACCATGGGTGCTTGTGATGCCAATACATTAGTGCTACCCTTACACCCACCCTGCCAAGTCACCTTCACTCAGGTAGCACCTGGCAAAGGGGAAGGGAAAGGCTCACTACCTCCCTTTGACATCAGAATGTCTTTTTAGATTTCTTTCTTTTTTTTTTCCTTAGACAGGGTTTCTATGAGTAACAGCCCTGGCTGTCCTGGAACTCAGTTTGTAGACCAGGTTGGCCTTGAACGCACAGAGATCCTTCTGCTTCTGTCTCCCAAATGCTGGGTTAAAAGTCTGTGTCACCGTCACCCAGCTGCCTTTTTAGATTTATTTACTTAAAATTATTGTGCAAAGTTTTATCATGGGGAACTAGAAAAGTTTCTGAGATTGTTTTGTTTTTTAAGTTGATTTGGTTGAGGAGACTGTGTATGTGTGTATTGTCCTGGGAAGGAACCCAGGGCTTTGCACCTGGTGGCCAAGGACTGAGCTACGCCCCCATCTCCTTTTAAAAATGTCTTTAGAAGCACATGTAGTCTCTTATCCCATTGGAGGGATGGATGTGCTCAGTGGCTGCACAGGGGCACAGACCACTTCAGGCTCCTGCAGCTCCTTCCCAGTGGAGGCTAAGACTTGTACACAGGGGAACACAGGCTCAGGATTAAGGCATCAAGGAATGCCTTAAAGATCTATGCACAAGTAACTATTGGTCACCAAATTTTTACTTTTTACACAGTCACATTTAACTTAAAGTGTTATTTGAAAAATAATACCATGGCTTGTCACGGTGTTTCTGCCTAGAGCCACATGGGACTTGAATGTGTGGACTTTTGAACTGACTCTAGATGTGTAGAGAGTGTCTTTGTGAAACCCTCATGCACAGTGAGACACCCGCTTCTAAAACATGGGTTTGAAGGGATTACTATGTAAGGCAATCAGTTCATCAAGAGACAGTGTTTATATATTTTTATGTGCAACCCTTTTTGTATTATTCCCTCCTGATGGGTTTTTGGAACTCCTTATAACATTAGCAAAACAAAACACTAAAAGTCCAAAATTTATTTATTAACCTGTCTGTGCCTTTAGTACCCATGCCTTCTACACACACTATTTTGGTTTTAATGTATTTGCAATTTTTCTCTAAACATTTGTAATCCTGAGGTGGAAGTTACATACATGTTTTATTGTTGCATATACTTCCTGAAAACCTCAACTTAGACTTTTCTCCTCAAATTTTTATGGATAAAAAATCTTTTCAAGTAATTCAATTGGGAATAGAAGTTAACTTATTTGTGAAAAATTTTCTTCTACAGCGTAATTCAGAACGTTAAAGGCAGGTGGCTGTGCCAGTAGACTGAGGCCCACCGCTGACACGGAGTGCAGTGAATCACACCACACCAACTGCCTGGATCACAGCTCTTAGTTCCTCTTTGGTTTTGTGCCTAGATTTTGCTTTAGACTTTGGTTCTGTAGAAGGAAGGATGCCATTAAACCCTTGAGTTCCTAATGAGATTTTGTGTTGAGTTGAAAAAGCCTATGCGTGACCCTGCCTTTCATGATTCCTACAAGAATATGCTCAGATCTGTGGTGCAATCATGATTGTTTTTCAGTCCCTCTTCCTTCTTAGCAGGAGGAGCTGGGTTTGGGGTGGAGACATTAATCTGTAATCCTCCATCCTCGTCCCTCGGGAAGGAAGTTGAGAATGGCAGACTCTCAGCAGAGCCTCAGGTCTGACAGTTCTGTGAAATGCTTGTTGTTCCGAGGGAGCGCGTTTCTAAGAACTTGCATCAGCCAGAAATGAACTGTCATTGGCTCAGTTTCAGAACCGTTTTAATAAGCTAGTGTTTGTTTTCTCTTTCTGATTTTTTTCACCTAACTTGATGGCGTTGAGGTTCACGGATGAACTTTGTGTGAGCAGGCTGCGTACATACACCTACACTTGCTTGGGCATTGCAGTCAGCTGGAAGCTGCATTCCATCTTATTAGTTGGTTTTGCTTCTACTGACTGTTGTTTCTTAGCATATTCGATCAGAGTTAGGGACTTTGATGGTCTAGTTTGACATAGTAAGTTACTTTGGAGGCTCATATGTGATTTACCAGTGCAGCTTATCAGTGTAAAACACCTGCTGTAAATGAGTAACTTACATAATGGCTGTGAAAATAATTGAAGAATCATTTTCCCTTTTAGCCTCTCTGTGCCATTTGGGGACCACAAGCTTTGCTTTTTTATTTGGCTTTCCTATTACTTTCTTCCCTATTTTTCTGCTCATCTACTTTGTTTCTCTCCTTTTTTTTTGTTTTCCCTTTACATATCATTATACAGTTGGACAACAGTTTGAATTTATTAATGAATTTAAAAAGTCTAGGAACTACGAAGTAGAAACGGAAGTTTAACATTTGCTGACTGGGTATAGACAGTGCTATACTAAGCTAATTCTTATGTCTGAAACAGTGACTGCTTTTAGTGACTGCTGCAATTACATGACTCAAATAGGTAAAAAGAAAGTTTCCCCAGATAAGATGGTGGAAATGCAAGCGAAAATTGATGAGGAGAGAAAAGCATTGGAAACAAAACTTGACATGGAAGAAGAAGAAAGAAACAAAGCTAGAGCTGAACTGGAGAGACGGGAGAAGGACCTTCTGAAAGCCCAGTGAGTGTGGTGGGGTCCAGACAGGCTCGTGGCTGCAGTTTCTGTGTTCTTCATAGGACTGTGCATCAGGAAAGTCAAGCAATTAAAATATAATCTAAAGCTTGATCTTTGTCTCCAAGATCACTGTTTTAGGGTAGAGGGTCCACCGTGTGTGATATTTTTAAAGCTTGGGTCTTTCTGATCATTTAATCTCTGTAGGAGAAAATATTGGCCCATGTGAATGATACCTTAGCTGATGAGTTAATGCCATGTAGTGGTGTGATTTGGAGAGATAAATCACATGACTGAGTTTTTCTAAGTGCATCTTCAGTTCTCCTTCAGTGGGGGAGTGAGATTAGAGCGGCAGACAGGAATTTAGAGTGCTCTCCTCTTCCTTATAGACAAGAGCACCAGTCTTTGCTGGAAAAACTCTCTGCTTTGGAGAAGAAGGTCATTGTTGGTGGTGTAGACTTGTTGGCCAAAGCTGAGGAGCAAGAGAAGCTTCTTGAGGAGTCCAATATGGAGCTGGAGGAGAGGAGGAAGAGAGCTGAGCAACTTCGGAAAGAACTTGAGGAGAAAGAGGTGACGCCATGTTAAGTATGGTGTGTGAGGCATGCCTGCCCTTTCCAGAGGGAAACTCTCAGAAATAGGGTGGAAGCAGACTTGAAGACAGTAGTTAGGAAACATCTAGATCATTTGTTGCGTTGAATTTGTGACTTGAAACTTTCTGAACTTAGCCTGTTTTTATCATAGCAAGAACGCTTGGACATTGAGGAAAAATATACCAGTCTGCAAGAGGAGGCGCAGGGAAAGACCAAGAAATTAAAGAAAGTCTGGACCATGCTGATGGCCGCAAAGTCAGAGGTTTGTGTCTTAGAAACTGCCCACAATGCAGTTCAGAATCTTAATGTCAGCTTACAGGTTTTTTGTTTTGTTTTTGTTTTTTTAAGACAGAATTTTTCTATATAGCCCTAACGGTCCTGGAATTTGTTCTGTAGCAGGCTGGCCTTGGACTCAGATCTGCCTGCCTCTGCCACCTGAGTGCTGGGATTAAAAGTGTGACTACGGCCTGCTGCCCCCACTGCCCCCACAACCTAGCTTTGTGTGGTTACAGTTGTAAAGCACTAAAACACTCCTTTCTGTGTGTTTGCAGTGTTGTCCTGCCCTGGCTCTAAGTGACACAGCCTAGCCAGTGAAAGTGTTGGTCTGTACACGAACTGGCCAGTTCTCACCAGGCCTTATAGACCAATGTCCTGGGCTAGGTGCAGTATTTGTGATTAAAATCTTGTTTTGTTTGTTTGTTTTTTGAGACAGGGGTTTCTCTTTAGCTTTGGAGGCTGTCCTGGAACTCACTCTGTAGACCAGGCTGGCCTCAAACTCACAGAGATCCACCTGCCTCTGCCTCCCAAGTGCTGCAATTGAAGGTATGTGCCACCGCTGCCTGACTTATTGCTTAAAATCTTGTTTGCTTTATACTGTCTTGGGTTCTCTGGTAGATGGCTGATCTCCAGCAAGAGCATCAGAGAGAAATTGAAGGCCTCCTGGAGAACATTCGGCAGCTCAGCCGTGAGCTTCGGCTTCAGATGCTCATTATTGATAACTTCATACCTCAGGATTACCAGGTGAGGGGAGAGTCTGATTTAGACATTGGGTCATTGGCAAGGGCTAAAGAAGAAAGAATAAGCCCGTGTAATTAATTAAGATGTTACATGTTTACTTCGCAGCGGTCCTCTGTAAAGCTTTCTTGAACTAACGCCATCATATAAAAGTGACTTAGGGTTGCTATTGCTGTACTAAAACAATATAACAGAAGCCACTTGGGGACAAAAGGATTTATTCAACTTACACTTCCACATTAAGTTCATCACTGAGGGAAGGCAGGACAGGAACTCAAGCACACCAGGAACCTAGTGGCAGGAGCTAATGCAGAGGCCATGGAAGAGTGCTGCTTACTGGCTTGCTCAACTTGTTTTCTTATAGAATCCAGGCCCACCAAACAACATATAGCACCACTCACAATGGGCTGGGCCCTCTCCCATCAACCACTAATTAAAGAAAAATACCTGCCAGGCAGTGGTGGGACACATCTTTAATCCCAACACTCAGGAGGCAAAGGCAGGCGGGTCTGTGTGAGTTTGAGAAGACAACCAGGGCTACACAGTGAAACCCTGTCTCAAAAAAAAAAAAAGAAAGAAAATGCATTACAGCTGGATCATATGGAGTCATTTTTCAACTGAGGTTCTCTCTTTTCAGATAACTTTGGCTTGTGTCAAGTTGACATAAGACGAGCCAGCACAAAAGGTGTTAGTTTTCTTTAAAATGCAATTCTCTTTGTGAGTATCTAAATATCTAAATAAGAATGTGTCAGTCCACTGAAAGGAAGAATCTTGGTTCATGTAAATGCATGAAATCTAGGTGAAGGTCCTGTTGATTTATTGACATATTTTATTAGAAAGTAGAGATGGAACTGGAGAGGTGGCAGTGGTTAAGAGCACTGCCTGCTCTTTCAGAGATCCAGATCTAACGCCCACGTGGCAACTCATAGCCATCTGTAATTCCAGCCCTGGGGATCCAACACCCTCTTTTGTCCTCACAGGCGTCAGGCAGATGTGTGGTGCACAGACACACATGCAGACAAAACACTCATGTACATGGAGTATATGCATAGCTACTTTCTTAAATAAAAAATCAGAATATGCTGCTGTCCTCTGTGTGTGTATAAAAATAGAACATGAAAATGCTCGTTATCGTCATCTTTACAGCTCAGTAACACTGAAGACCTTGTTCACTTGGTTGTGCAGTCAGCTGTCAGCACTCGTCGTTTTCAAACAGGTGGTAGTTGTTAATCACCAGCAGAATTTAAAATCTTATCTTTTTCTTTAAGTATATGGGAATGTGAGTCTAGGCTAGAGTATTGGGTCCCCTCAAACTGCTGGGTGTGGATGCTGGGATTCGCCACAGGTGTGTGCAAATGCAGTGAGCACTCAGCCCTGGAGCCATCTCTCCATCCCACCTTCTAGTAGATTCACAATGTTGTCAATCTCAGAAAAGCTATGAGAAATTTTTCTGAAATTTTCCCTTCAGACCTCAGTTTCCCTGAGTCTGTGCTGGGTTTCTGGTTCACTCCTGGATGTTCCCAGTTCCATGTTGTGACTGATAACCCAAGTTAGCTGAAAGATAGACTGTGACCTGTTTCTAGCTGAGTCCTTTCCCAGCCTTTCTACCCTTGGCCTCTTCCAGCCCAGCTTGCCCGTCCTCCTGATTGCCAGGATTCAACTTTTGCTTTTTTTTTTTTTAATGTAGTTGAATAGTATCCACATGTGTTCTTAAGAAGTGTGTGTCTTTAAATTTATTTTTATTTTATGCATATGGATGTTTTCTTTGTATGTGTGTATGTATGTATGTATGTACCATGCACATGCCTGGTGCCCACAGTGACCAGAAGAGGTGTCGGGTCCCCCGGAATTAGAGTTACATACTGTTGTGAGCCACTGTGTAGTGCTGGGAACTGAACCTATTTCCTCTGCCAGAAAAGTTGGTCTTAACCACTTAGCTAACTCTTCAGCCCAAGGACTGTATATTTTTAAATGCTTGATGCAGTCGGTCATGTTTAGAAACAGCTTTTTTCACTTAACACTGATGGAAGTCTAGGTCTAATGGGTCAAATGGTTCAGCAATAAAGGCTTATTCTGTAAACCTATGACCTGAGTCTGATCCCCGGAACCCACGTGAAGAGAGAACTGACTCCATAGAGTTGTTCTTTGACCGCCACATAAGGACCATGACTTCCATGACTTGTCCCTATCCCCGTCAAGCGTGTGTGTGTATGTGTATGAGAGGGAGGGAGGGAGAGAGAGAGAAGTGCCCTTAAAAAGAGCTTAGTTCAAGGCATGGGGCGGTCAGAGGGATTCTCATGAGCAATATTAGTGACAGATACAGGAAGAGCCACACATTTCTACTGTCAGTTCTGGTCATAGTTTTCAGTGTTCTGTTGACTAAAAGTTGGCTTTGACTCTTTCTAAAGGAAATGATTGAAAACTATGTCCACTGGAATGAAGACATAGGAGAATGGCAGCTGGTGAGTATTCACCCTGCATGAAATTATGGCGTGGAGCTGGTGCGGGCTGCTGTGGAGGAAGGTGGTGCTGGGTGGATCAGATCAGAACTCGGTGGACCATTCGTGGCAGTGCATTAGGCCTGGTGCTTCTGGGTGCTGGGCAGCACATTGGAGCCTTTCTGCTCCAGGGTTCACATCATGTTTGCTAGTGAGCCGTCAGGATGGCTTACAGCGGCCTTCCCAGTTCTCAGTATTGATTTAGACATTTCTCTTCCCTCTTTTCCTCTTTTGAGAAATGTGTGGCCTACACAGGAAATAACATGAGGAAACAAACCCCAGTGCCTGACAAGAAGGAGAGAGACGTGAGAGCACTTTGCACACTTGTTTGTCTTTACTAGAATGGGGGTCCCTTGCTGCCTTGTTCCTAGTGTGTGGGCTGAGCCGTTCTTTGGTAAAAGAGAAGAGACTCTTGGGTGGGGCTGTTAGGACAGGTCTGCTCTTGAGCATGCACTTAGCAAAAGTCACTCCTGCCACAAACATGGCCTGTTGTCACTCTCTGCTGTGCCCTCTTCACCGCTCTGGGCTGTGGGATGTGGCGGGAGACTAGGATGCCTTGCTTCCCTCAGTCCCAGGTCATCCAAAGTGCTGGTTTTAGAGAAAGGAAGACAGTTTTTCTTTACGTCTGGGCTCGTAATTCTCCAACTTAGAGTGCATTTACAGAGTAGGATAGAAGACTCTCTTCAAAAGGGTATTTGATTTTGTTGTCTTTTGCCCAGTGTCAGTTTGTGTTTTAAATCTTCCTCAAATCTGATTTAACTTCATGTGTGTGTGTTCGTGTGTTCGTTCTTGTAGCCTTTTGAAGTAGATCTTTCCCACGTGTACCTCGCCTATACAGAGGAGAGTCTGCGTCAGTCTTTGATGAAGCTAGAAAGGCCACGGACCTCCAAGGGGAAAGCAAGGCCAAAGACTGGGAGAAGGTGAGGACAGCCCCAAGGCCTAAAGTCCTAACGTGACTGTGTTGTGATACTATGGTTAGATATATCTCAAGGAAGCCAAACTTTAGTTAACATGATGTGTGGTTTGAAGTTATGTTCTTATGCAATTACAATTTGATAAGCAAAATATGGATAAAGAATTGTACTCTGCGAGTTCAAGGCCAGTCTGGTCTATAGAGCAAAAGTTTCAGGACAGCAAGAGCTGTTACACAGAGAAACCCTGTCTCAAAAAAACAAACAAAAAGAATTGCATTCTGGGACCGTTGTAGTAGCACACACCTTTTATCTCAGGACTTGAGAGGCAGAGGCAGGCAGAGCTCTTGTCTACATTTCAAATTTCAAAACAGCCAAAACTGCAAAATGAGACCCTGTCTCAAACAAAACAGAAACAGAACTGCATTCTTTCAGACTTCTGCCCCTGGGAGGAGCAGATCTAGTTTCAGCTTGCCTTGTTCGTTCCTAGAGTTTACCTACCACCTACTGTCTTGTCTAGGGTCTTAATTTTCACACTAATTCTCCTACTAAGACACTAAGTTGCCTAGTTAGGCTCCTCAAATACTATATTCATCCGGGCGGTTTTCTGACAAAGATACTGCCTCAAGGACGTTGATTTCTCAAGGGAAGCGTGCATTTCTCTCTAGCACCGCTTGTGACAGTCCTGTAGTCAGTGCTTCATCCGTCAGCCACTGGGAAGCCTGGGCTGGCCGTGTTCCTCGTGTTCCTACACTGAGCTAATTTGCATCAGTTGCAAGACTTTTGCTTTACATATAAGGTGACGTTAATGGGTTTTATGTCTTTATGTTATGTAGGGTTTTTTTTTTTAAGATTTATTTAATTATTAAGCATACAATGTACCGCTGGCAAGGAAGGCACCAGGTCTCATTACATTACAGATGGTTGTGAGCCACCATGTGGTTGCTGGGAATTGAACTCAGGACTTCTGGAAGAGCAGTCAGTGCTCTTAACCTCTGAGCCATCTCTCCAGCCCTGTTATGTAGTTTTTTAGATGTAATATAACACTAAAAATGTTGGAATCATTAAACTACGGCTAGAAAGAAACAGCTACATGCTAAAATGTATAATAATATTTTTGCATTTTTTAGCATTTAGATGAAGTGATTTAAAGATTTTCATATGCTAACCGAATCTTCACATGGAATCTTTATAATATATAAGTATTTATTTTATCTTTATGTGAGTGTTTCGCCTGCATGTTTATATGTGCACTGGTCAGATTTCCCGGAATAGTTGGTTGTAAGCCACCAGTATGGGTATTGGGGTGTGAACTCGGGTCCTAAGGAAGAACAACAGTGCTCTTAAGAACCTCACACGTGTAATATCAGGGAACAAAGTAATCTGTCCTGAAAAACAGCTCTTGAGTGGTCCCTCCCTGTTAGAGGGTTATAGATCCTCCTCTGAGCTCTGTGGTCGTTAGGAAGATGCATTTCAGATGTGGCAGATGGTAATGAGCCAGGCAGAGAAGGGCAGTGGAGCAAGCTGGTGAGTGGTTCTGTCCCTCATTAGTGTAGGAACAGAGGCCCCATTATTACTGGACCAGTGTCTTTATAAAGGGAATCCAGATTGCTTTCATGTAGACCTTAAAACAAATAATTTGATAAGCTATTAGATATAGTTTCTATAGTGCACCACTATAAAATACGTTTTTTGTTTAGCTTAAGTTAAAGAAAATATTTGTGGGCCAACGTGATCCAGACTCAACTCTGTAACAGAATCAAAAACTAGTCTTCGTGGGAAAGAAGCAGATATGTGAGCTAGATGATGTGCTTGTGTTCTCTGTGAGGGCCCATGCAGTGCTTCGTGAGAGGCATGCAGGTCAGTGTGCTGACAGGAGCAGAGAAGGCACATGAGAGTGCTGTAGGCTCAGACACTGGGAGTCCTGCTTCTCTGAGGCTCTGTACTGTTAGCCTCGGAGGAGATGACCAAGGGACATCCCTGATAAGCTTAGTGGACACCTGTCTGCACCTTGCCTGACCTTGTGCTCAGCTCCTCACCACTCTGGATCACTGTACTGTGGCAAATTGTCCTTGTATTTGCTTTTGCTAACCTTACCTACTCTGGGTATTGATCAAACTGCTGTGGTCAGGCATGGCCAGTGTTGGTCCATTGTGGACTCCGGCCACGTGATGTGTTGACAGTCTGTTAGGGAAGAGCACTCACCTTGCATTTTTTTTCTTCTCTTAACAGAAAGCGTTCTGCAAAGCCTGAGACCGTAATTGATTCTTTACTTCAGTAAATGTTACAGAATTAAGGTTACAATAAAAAAAGCGATATTCTCATGTCTGGACAGAAATCCTTAATTAAGACTCTGAGGACATCTGTGTAATTCATATAATGTAAGCTGTAAATTATGGAGTGAGACTGGAAATAGTAATTTTCCTAATAATTCTTAGACTTTTAAGTTTCTGTAACATATAAGTGTGCATAGGTCATGACTGTTGGGGATGCCACGCTGTGCAGCAATGCTCTGTGGAAGGAAGGGCGCAGTTCTTACAGAACATTGTGGTTGTATGTGAATGTGTGTCTCTTAGCTTTGTACTCAACTATTGTGTATCTAGATAAGCAGAATCTCAGAGTAGAAGAAAGTCTGTCTTGTTTGCACACAGTGCATAGCAGATCACCTTGTCCTGTGTCAAACGCCTGGGGGCTCATCTAAACAGTAACTTCTCCTAATACCTGCAGGCCTGTCTCAATGCATTCTGACTTTATACTGATGTTCGTTGCATTTAGGTATGAGATGACTGACTTTATGGATCTCCTGTAGAAATTGTATAATTTGACAGCTTTGCGGGTTTGCATTTTAAAGGTACAGTTTGAGCATGTGCTTCATCTGGCCATCCTCCACCAGTTTCTCTCACCCTAACTCCACCCACATTAGCCTTTCTTGTTGCTGGCTTGGTTTCCCTCCCAAAGCTAACACTGACCACCTACCCTTGCTCACACACGTTTTTAAAGGTTTCCCTGGACATACGGCTTACAGACACTCTATTGCTGCATTTTAAGTTTTTTTGTTTGTTTGTTTGTTTTTCGTTTTTCAAGACAGGGTTTCTCTGTGGTTTTGGAGCCTGTCCTGGAACTAGCTCTTGTAAACCAGGCTGGTCTCGAACTCACAGCGATCCGCCTGCCTCTGCCTCCCGAGTGCTGGGATTAAAGGCGTGCGCCACCACCGCCCAGCTTGCATTTTAAGTTTTGATGGAAATGACTGTATACAAATTGAAAACAGTCTCATTTTTCAGAAAATGAAGCTAAACCAGAAGAATACCTTTTAATTTTCTTTATAGCATTTACATACATAGAAAATACTGTTCTGAGTTTCTTCTGTTGGTTAATCCACTTAGGCCATATTCCTCTCCGAAAAAGTTATATTCAATATATAGTAAAATAAGTTATAATAAATTTTTATAATAAATGTTTTTACTTTTTTGGTGTCTACTTATAAAACTCTTTTAAGGTTATGAGCTCTTATGCTTCGGAAACCTATCATGCTTTCTAAGTTTGAAATTGTGCCACCACTCCAAGCTCTTGATTACAAAGATTTTGAGACTTCCCAAGTTAGGATTAACTAGGTTAGTATGATTTTAGAAGTTTGGGCAAATAATGGCTTATAATTACAGAGCTGTGTGTAGGCTGTGAATGACTGAGTAGAGGTGCAGCCTGGTGAGGTGATGGAAAATGTGGCGTCTTCCAGAAGGAGAGTGTCCTGTATGTGCAGTGTGTGCTGATATGACCGTGGCCACGGTGGCACTGTCCTCAAGGTAGTGAGTAGCCTGGGTACTGTGGCGCACTGAGCAGAGTGTGTGTCTCATAAAGGCTCATGTGAGCCAAGCGTCTTGGTGATGTCTAATTTCCTCATGGTGTAAATTTAACTGTTAGTAATGACAGAATCTTAATTTAACCTGTAAGGAGAATTAATCTATATGCTTTCATTTTAAACTCTGTGTTTCTATCATTTAACAATTTAGTTGGTCTGGAAGGAATATCTGCTGTGAATTAAACTAAAACATTAGAGATGTTGATTCTCTAATGTGTGTTAAAACCTATAACAATAACAAAATAACTCCATAAAAACTGAAAATATTGAGAAAATTCTCTAAACATCTTAGAAATTTTGTTTGCTTGCTTGTTTCTTGTTTTGAGATAGGATCTCTTGGTGTTAGCCCGGGCTGGCCTGGGACTCAGGATTCTTCTGCCTCAGCCTCCAGGTGCTATGATTACAGGTGATATCCTAACACCAAGCAGTGTGTTCATGAAAGCATTTGCTCTGACCAGGCGGACATGGTTCATTTTCTGAAAACCATGTTAGATTCTTGCCGGGTTGGGAGGTCCGTTTGAAGACTGCTCCTCACTTCCTGCGTCTTTGTCCACAAAGGAGGAGTTTGTATTTTCAGTGTTGATTTCTTGAATGGATAGAGATGAAGAACAAACTTGCTCAATGTTTAAAATAAATGTACAGATTTTAAATGAGTGGGACAGACCTATAAATAGGGTATTGATGAATATCCTTTTCCCCTTAATTTAAAAAGTAATATTTATTTACTTGAAAGGAGCCCTAGTAGGGAGTTGGCTCTGACGGCCAGGCTCTCCCTCCACTCTGTCTGTTGTGATGTTCAGGCTTAGCCGAGGGAAGGCTGTGCAGCCAGTGTTTCCCCCGACAACAGGATCCTCTCACAAGATGTTTACATTCTGGAGAAGGTGATTTTTCTAGTTTGTGTTTTTGGCAGTTGGAATATCAAGGTTGTTTTGCAGGGGAAAGTGTTGCTTCATCTACGACATGGTTTTAAAGTCATGATTACAGTTTTAACGTTTCTGTTTTCATCTTAGGTTTAGAATGTGTCCCGTCCTCCTTGCCCCCTTTTAAGGCGTAACACAAGGAACACCCTCTTTCCCATAGAGCTGTGAGTTACGGATGGGCGACGTTTACATTTGCACACACCGTGTCCACCCAGTTTCTCCTCCCTCCTTTCATTCTGAGATAGACTCCCATTAGCCTAGGCTGGCCACAAACCCTCTAAGTAGCTCAGGCTGGCCTTGAACTCCTGATCCTCCTCTACCTCCACCTCACAATTGCTGGGATTACATTTATGCACCACTACACCCCAGCCCCTCTCCCCCATGTCTTAATATATAGAATTGTTTTCTTCTTTGTTCTTTTTCTTTTAACTACTAGAAAACACAGTTCTTCCTAGTGCCTTTGAGCTGACCCTGCAGTTTTGACTAATTAGAATCCGTGGAAACCTGAGCAGCATTGCTGTATTGCTGTTACCAACCAGGACACAAACTGTATAATAAGTTGGCTGTGTTAATTCAAAAACCACACTTCGGTTGTATTTTATGTATAAATTGTATTTGTTTAAGTTGTATATATCAGTGTTGTGTGCACATGCAGCATGATAAAATGAGAAATAAAATTCCTCCCAATGCCTACTGTCTTTTAAGAGATTTTTATTTTGTTGTGTCTGCTTACACATGTGTGCACCATGTGTGTGCTGTGTGCCTGTGTTGACCAGAGAGTGTTGGGTCCCTTGAACTGGGGTTACAGTTATGAGTTGCCATGTGTGTGATAGACAGGCGATTACATTGCTCTTCCTTTCCTTTTCCCAGAATTCTTTTAGTCTGATCGCTGCACCTATACTTCCTGCCTATTGGCCAATCTCTGTTTTATTAAGCTAGTACTAGTGACGAATCTTTACAGTGTGTAAAAGCATTATCACACAGTATTTCCCCTTTTTTTTTTTTATTCAAAGCAAGGCAAGAACTCTGAATCTAATCTCCTTTGTTTAGCTTTTTTTTTCTGAACATTATCTATAACAACTTGTAGTCAATATGTAAACAAAGGCTAACATCCACATTACATTTTTTGGAGGGGAGGGCAAATGTGGATGTAGGTTTCTAGACTACTTCCTATTGATTGGGGGTTACTAATAATCTTTGAGGAACTCTGATAAAATTTAGGATTATGGTCAATTCCTGAGAAGAATTGAAGTTCAACATGGGCCTTGAGAAGGTTTGACTTAATGATTACTTTAAAGAACTTTTTTTTTATTCCAGTTAACATACAAAGTGACTGCGTGTTGTTTGCCATTTTCAGACATGCATTTCACTAGGCTTTGCTCATATTCATCCCCCTTGCTTGCCTCGGTGGCCCCCTTTTCTACCCAGATAATCTTCTCTCTGCTAGCTTTTATAGAGTCCCCCTCTGCGCCAGACTGCGGCCATCTTCAGGAGTCCAGCTTGGAAAGGAGGTGCAGGGAATGTCACCCCCAGCTGGGGTCCCGGCTTCTCCGTGGCTGTGCCGATGCCACCATCTCCCCTCACACTTCCCCAGTGAGTCTGAGGCCGTAGACAACTAGGGCAGAATTACTCTTGGTTATGGGAGAGAGGCAATGACTGGGCACTTGAGAGGACTCCAGGACAAGCCCCCAAGAGCAAAGTTCTCTAAAGCCTGATGTCCTCTAGGAATGGATGGCTTCACGGTTTCCTTTTTAGGGACTAAGTTGTTTTATGAGTTTGCATGTTTGCCTGCATCTCTGTATGCGCACTGTAAATGCGCCTGGTGCTTACAGTCTCAGGAGAAGGCATCAGATCCCTTAGAACTATGGGTCCTGGAAGCTGAATTCCAGCCCTGCAAGAGCAGCCAGTGCTCTTAACTGCCCAGCCGAGCTGTCTGCACAGCCCTCAAGAATTCTTCCGATTGCTAGATGATCTAATGAACTAGATGATCTAATGGCCTCCCTATCTCTGGCCTGGTTGACCATTCCCTACTCCTTTCTTTGAGACAAATAGCATTAGTTTGGGGGGAGGCACATGAGTACACCTTGTGTGTGTGTGTGTGTGCAGGTGCAGTGTTCTTACGCTCCAAGGGACCACTGGTTAGGCCAGGCTGGCGGACCCGGGAGTCCCAGGTATGGTCCTTTCTCTGCCTCCCCAGGCCAGATGCTGCTATGCTCTGCTTCTTAATGGGTGCTGGGCCAAACTTAGCACTTCACTTGCTGAGCTGTCTTCTCAGCCATGTCCCTTCTCTGCTTTTAAGATTTTATTTTTATTTATGTGTTTGGTGGGAGTGAGGGTGGGGAGGTATTTGCCCATAAATGCAATTGCCAGTGGAAGCCAGAAGGGAGCGTCAGATCCCCTTAAGCTGGAGCTACAGACATTTGGGAGCCACACAGCATTGGTGCTGGGAACTAAATGCCAGTCCTCTGGAAAAGTAGTCTGTGCTCTTAACCTCTGAGCCATCTCTTAGGGGCCCCCCACCCCAATGCTTTTTGTTTGTTTGAGACAGTCTCGTTTAGCCCAGGCTGGCCTCCAACTCTGTACAGAGACAAGAGTAACCTTCAGCTTCTGATCATCTTGACTCCACCTGATTGCTGAGATCACAGGCAGTAGACACCAAAGGCTAGCCACCATTGCTGTTTCCTGCCCTCATCTTTTCCAGTGAATCACTCAGTTCCATTGTAAAACTAGGCAGTATTTTAATGAGTGGGAATTACCGTGAGCCAAGTCCAGCAGGAATAGTCCAGGGGCTCTGAAGCCTTTGGGGTCTGAGCTTCTGGCTGAGGGGCAGGGCCTCCAGGCACATTTGTTAGTGGATTAGCAGAATTGCTCCTTAAACCATTTGATTTGCAAAGCAAATCAGGTATTCCGTCTTCCTTCGGAAGCTGAGCCCTTGTGTGGGAAAGTGGAGGTGAAGAGGCTACTTCAAAAACAACCTGTTTCCTCTCAGCATTTATCTTGGGCTTCCTGCGACCCAACCTTCAGGTTACTTTTATCAGTGTTATCAGAACATCGGGCTGTCTTACCCAGACGCGGTGTGGCTCTCTGAAGCCTGGGACAGATCAGATGTCCTCCCACACCTGCTCCCCTCCCCCAGCCTCTCAGAGGACTGGGGAAATTTGAGTTGTAATCAAAGGCTGCGTTTCTCCGATTGTAGCTAAGAATTTAACTGGGACTTTACAACTGAATAAAATTTTCTCAGAGTCTGATACCAATCTGAGCAAAGAGGATATTGCCTAACCCAACCTAAAAGTGCCAGAGAGGCTGCAGAAACCCTTTGCTGGCCTCACTTCTGATCTCCACCTAGAGTCTTGCCCCACCCACGCCCACTGGCCAGGCGGCCTCCGTTATGTTGTTAAGTTACCATACAGAATGGTTGGTTTTATTGTAGCATCCTCATGCTCAAACACCATCATAATGTGATTAGTTAGCACTGATCACCCTCTCTCCTTCTCCATCCTTCCTCTGAATAGTCCTGGCTTATGCTTCTCACAGGTCACCCCACCCTGTGGGTTCCCCCCTCCCTTAATCCCCTTTCACTTTACACAGGTGCACACACTCTGAATACACACAGATTTAAATCCAGATTCTGCATAAAACGGAAAAATTTGTATCTGGCTTTATTTTGCTTAACGTAATCTCGGTCTACATCTGCTTTCTGTAAACACCATGATTTCATTCTTCATGCCTAAGCATGAATCCACTGTGTGTCCGAACAGCATATCCTCTGTTTATCTGTCGGCAGATATCTTGGTTCCATATCTCCGTGCTTCACAGAGCTACAACAGTCGTAAATGTACAAGCATCCTGTGGTGTGCTCACTCACAACCCTCCCGGTTCATAGTAACTGAAGCACGCGGGAGACCTGTGTTTAGTTCTTTGGGCACCTCCACACCAGTTCCCAAAGTAGTGTCTAAGTGTCCTGGGTAAGTGTACCTTGGGACTGGGGAGATGGCTTAGTGGGTAAGGACACTTATGGAGTAGGCATGCCGACCTGAGTTCCCATCACCAGCACCCACACAGAAGCCGGGTATAGCAGCTCAAACCTGCCCAGAGCTAGGTGGAGACAGGTGGATCTGGGGCACTCGCTAGCCAGCCAATCTACCCTATAGGGTGAGCTCCAGGTTAAGTAAGATCCTGTTTGAAGAAGCAAGATAGTCAGGGCAATGGTTCAGAGGGTAAAAGGGTTTGCTGTGCAAACCTAACAGCCTGAGGTCAGTGTCTGGTACTGACCTAAAGGAGGGAGAGAGGACTGACTGTTCTTCAGCATGTATGCCATGCCGCACAGGTACACACAGGCATACACTCACACCCACTTAAATGCATACATATGGGGGCATGCACTCACACACTCGCATGCGCACACACATTCAGAAAAAGAAAGATAGTGATGAGAAAGACACATGCAATTGTCTGGCCTTCACATTGCAATGTAAAGTCACATGCCCATATGTACTTGTGTGTATGCATACACACACCCACACAGAGGCAGTCTGGAGAGCTAAGGTGGGAATATAATGGTCTCAGGGTGGGAGACCAAGAGGGCTGGGGGTACTCTACTGTGCACAAGGCCCTGGGTTCAATCCCTAGTACAGCAGGAGGAGGACTCTTAAACCTTTCTTTTCTTTTTTAAGAGAGGCCAGTTCAAGAGATGTCAGCCATGACAGTTACTTAAGGAACTACAGTGCCCAAGAGTGGAACCCTACCTTGTGTTGAATAAATTAACCCTGCAAGTTAACAAGACATCGGCCCCAAGATGCAAGACAGCCCCTACCTGCCCTGGATGGAGATTGACAGAGCTGAGCCCCTGACCTGTGTGTTGAAGGAGCATGACACGCCTCTTCCACAAGGAAGCTGGGTGCTGCATTTTGCTTTGAGCTGCCCCATCCTTGGAGGATCTTGATACTGCGGGATGCCACCTGAGAGGACAGGTGCAGGCAGACAAAGAAAAACCAGGGTCACAGAAGAATCCCCGGAGCCGGGCGCACACCTTTAATCCCAGCACTCAGGAGCAGAGGCAGGCAGATCTCTGTGAGTTCTTGGCCAGCCTGGTCTACAAGAGCTAGTTCCGGGACAGGCACCACCAAAGCTACAGAGAAACCCTGTAAACCAAAAAAAAAAATCCCTGGACCATTTTTTAGATTGTTTATTTATTTGCATGTGCGCATGTGTGTGCATGAGCACTTAGGGACACGTGTATGCAGCAGCACCTGTGGTGACCAGAGGACAGCTTGTGGAAGTCAGTTCTCCTCCTACCATGTCGAGCCTGGGACCAAACTCAGGCGTTTAAGCTGGGCCGTCTTGACTGGCACATCCCATGGCATTCTTATTAGAGGCCAACATTTCTTAATGCACCCCCAAAAGTGTTGCACACAAGACACAGCTATATGGTTTTGTTAGGCATTTATCCTCTAGGTACTGATTACCCATTGCCAAGTGCCAGTTAGAGATAACCTATCCAGTGGTTGAGGGCAAAGCAGTGAGGATAGGGACAATGGGAGAGAGCCGATGGTACCATCTTCGCTGTCAGTGACAAGGTACAGTCCACCGAACAGGCACTGGCTGTGGCTAGGTAGCCTCCATAACTGCTCCGATCACAAGCCCCAAGACTTGCACTTAATCCTGAAGTTTCTCCTCGCGTGTGTTTTATGTCTGTCCTTAGCCTGTGTTCTCCTCTTCTCTTGGTTCCATCAGAGGATCCAGAGTCCAGCCCCTCTGTTCAAATGCAAGCAAGAATGTTAGTATGCCCTGACCATCTGAGCTCCCTGTGTGATCGACTGACCTAGAGCCGGTGTGTGTCCTGTGGTCTGATCTAGGTCTTTCTTTTTGACAGCCTTTCCTTTATCATCCTGGCCTCATATACCAAGTGCAAACCCACAACTCATATCCTGTGGCAGACACAGCTCACATTAGGTAGCGCATGCAAATGAGTTTCAATCAAAGGAGTAAGGAAATTAAAATTGTCACTGAGCATCTTCCCCAATTGGCCTTAGAAGCTTTTATTGCCCTTGGCACACTGGTATTTTATGTGGGCAGGGTGAAACTGACTGTGGTCAGGGTGAGATTTTAAGCTTTTGATTTGTTTCCCCTTATTTTGAAGGGGTTAAAAAGTTGGTATGTATTTTTGGTGTGATTTTAGTGCTGGTGTTAATTGTCGTCACATGCGTGTGACTGAGGGCCAAAAGAGTGCCAAGTCACTGTTACTAGACTCCTCTTCCTTCACAGAGTATCTTCCCAGGGGCAAGTTGGATGCCAGGGGCCTTAGCTAGTTTCTCTCCTCTTGCTTCCATTCCTTTAAAATAAGTGTTATTAAGACATAACCCTTGCTCTTTTGAAAAATATATTTTACCAGGTGGTGGTGCACACACCTTTAATTCCAGCACTCAAGAGGCAGAGGCAGGTGGATCTCTGTGAGTTCGAGTCCAGAGTGAGTTCCAGGACAGCCAGGGCTGTTACACAGAGAAACCTTGTATTGAAAAAAAGAAGTGTGTGTGTTTGTATATGTGTATGCACACACACACATTTTATTCTGATTTTACGCGTGTTTTATCTTCATGTATGTGGGCACAATGTGAAGGAGGTGATGCCTGTGAGTCCCTTAGAACTGAAATTTCAGATGGGTGTGCGCTGCCACACGTGTGCTAGGAATCAAACCTGGGTCAGCAGAATGAAACACAGTGTTGTCTCTTATGCACATGGACAGGGTGCGTGCACACACGTGTGCATACACACACACAGAGACACAGACTTAATGCACTGACTGCCAATAGCCACTCCAGCTCTGCTTCATCCCTCCTTAGCCCGATCACCCGTCCATCTTTCCCTTGTTTTTATTCTTCCGGTGGCCATCATCATGAATTCCAAGATCTCCTAACTCATTCTTTACTTTTCTTCACTTTCTATAAAGAAAGCTCCACATGGGAGCAAGGTCGTTCGCCCTGTGGCCTCTCTTACAGCCGTCACCAACTCAGGACTAATCTCTAAATTTTTTTTGAGATTTGTTCATTCTTATGTTTTGTGTGTGAGTATATGGCCCGCGTGCATGTCTGTGTTCTGCATGCAGTGCCGACAGAGGTCAGAAAGGGCATCAGATGCCCTGAAACTGGAGTTTGGACAGTTGCGAGTCCCCGTGTGGTGCTGGGACTTGAACCCGGGTCCTTTGGAAAAGAAGTCAGCACTCTTAACCACTGAGTCATCTCTCCAGCCCTCAATCATGACTACGACAATTTTCTCAATTATCAACTTTAGATGTTACATGTTTATTTCCCTATTGAAAAATTAAGACTTATTTCATGTGTTTGGAGGGTGCAGAGTTGAGGCAAAATCTCATTTATTCATGTTGGTCATAACTCACATTCTTTTAAAAAATATACTTTGATTCTATTAAATTACGTGTAAATTTGTTTGTGTGCATGTGGATGTGTGTTTATGAGTTCAGTGCCCCCAGAGGCCAGAGGTGTCAGATCCCCTGGAGTTAGATAATTGTGATCCACATTGTGGGTGCTAGGAGCCAACTTGGTCCCTATTCAAGAGTAGCGAGTGCTCTAACCACTCTGCCACTTCTGCCCAGTAACTTTTAGTTTTCTTTTCTTGCAACAGGGTTTCACTTTGTAACTATGGCTGGCCTGCAGCTCCTGTATAGGCCAGGCTGGCCTCAGGCTCACAGAAGACACAGAGGTCTCCTGTTTTTCTTTGTTATGATTGTGTACATAAGATGCATGTGTGGAGGTCAGAGGGCAACTTTGCAGAGCTTTTTCTCCTGCTTTGATGTGGGTTCTGGGGATCCATGCTGGCTGCCTCAGACTGGATTGTAGGTATGTGCTACCAATTCCCTGCCCTTTAAAAAAATATTTTTAAATTTCTGGTTCTTGTTTCGTCAGCTGCAGGCTCTGCTGTCTCAGTGATTCCTCCTCTGGAAGGTGGAGTGCGTGCCATGCCTCTTTGTTTCTGCTGTTTTATTTACTTAGTGTGTGAGAGTGTGTGTGTGTGTGTGTGTGTGTGTGTGTGTGTGTGGTAGGGGGGTTAAGTATGTGAGTGTGGGGGGTAGGGGATTTGTGTGAGCGTTGGGGGAGTAGGGGGTTTGTATGTGGGAGGTAGGGGGTTTGAGTGTGTAGGGTTCAGAGGATAATCCCATGGAGTCAATTCTTTCCTACCTACGGATTCATCTCCCTGGGTATTCTATACTTATCTTATTTATTTAATTTATTTATTTGGTTTTTTTGAGACAGGGTTTCTCTGTAGCTTTGGAGCCTATCCTGGAACCAGCTCTTATAGACCAGTCTGGCCTTGAACCTACAGAGATCCGCCTGCCTCTGCCTCCTGAGTGCTGGGATTAAAGGCGTGCACCACCAATGTCTGGCTATTTTATTTTATTTAGTTTTTATGTATATGGGTATTTTGTCTACATACATATAGTCTGTGTACCACATGTATGCCTCCAATAGGAGGCCAGACGAGGGCATCAGATCCCCTGGGGCTATAGTTACTCTTTTAAGGCCCCATGTGGGTGCTGGAGATGGAACCTGGGTCCTCTGGAGGAGCAACAAATACTCTCAGCCAATGGACCATCTCTCCAGCCTCCTTTCTAATTATTTATTTATTTTTATTTCATGTGCATTGGTGTTTTGCCTGCATGTCTGTCTGTGTGTGTGTCTGATCTTGGAGTTACAGACCATGTGAGCTGCCATGTGAGTGCTGGGAACTGAACCCTGGTCCTCTGGAAGAGTAGTCAGTGCTCTTATCTGCTAAGCCATCCCTTCAGCCTCCTCCCGCCCCCACCCCACTGCTATCCTTTAATGATTTTGTATATTATGTCCTTGACACGAGTGGAGACTCCTTGAGAAGGAAGCAGGCTTTCTGTGGTGTCCTCACACAAACTGTAGCGGCTGTCAGTTAAACTAGCTTCTGTAACAGTATCAACTATGACCTCATTGCCAAATGAAGTGCTGTTAATTGTCACCGCTGTTAGATTATACATATTTTATTAATTATAAATATATAAATATTAAAAATAAAACCATTAAAAATTTATAAGTTAAGACTTGGAGCTCCCACACAGCCAGTAATTCCTTTGCATGATCCTTTTTAGGCTTCCCAAGAAGTTTGTCAGTGTTGTGTGCGTGGACTCATTCACAGTGCAGTTTCTCTACAAAAGAAACGTTCATGGTGTGAGTACATCAGGTCTCCCTGTCAGGCCTGCGTGTTCGGTCAAGCCGACTCTGGTGTCCTCCAGAACAATGTTCAGACCAGGGCTTCCAGACTATCTCGGCCTGAGTTTGACTTTCATGAAGCCAGCAAGATCTGGCCTGCTTTTTGGTATGCGCTATGGTCACTACTGATCTGCCTTCCTGGCACCACAGCCTCTGGAGTGGCGTGTCACGGACGGGATGCTGGAGGGGGGAGCAGAACATGTAGGCTCAGACCTGGCTGTGCTGTCACTTGGCCTAGGAAGCAAGATGCAGGTCTCGCTGCCCTCCTACCCCTCCAGCAGGTGCATTTCAGAGTGGGCCAGGGACGTAATAAGGAGTCTGGGACCGCTCCATGCTGATGCTACACTCTGGGCATCAGTGCCACCATCGTTACGTAGCTTGGACCAGCCACCTTGCTCACAAAAGCTCCAGTTCCCTCCCTTAGGGACTGTGAGGTGGCAGTGCTGAGTTTATCCATCAGTGACTATCACCATTATCCCTGTCCTGGCCGTGTGACAATGGCCCTTCATCGGGCTATCTTCTTCTCCACTTGCTTACCTGTCCCCCTCCACCCGGGGGCCAGTGTGAACAAGTATCACTTGGAGCACACCTGGGCTCCATCCTGACGGCAATTCTAGCTGCTTCCCTCCATCCCTGGGACCACATCCAAAGACTTGTATGAGCCTAGCTGCTAAACCTACTTCTTTGTTTTTGTTTTGTTTTTGGAGACAGAGTTTCTCTGTGTAGCCCTGACTGTCCTGGAACTCACTCTGTAGATCAGTCTGGCCTCAAATTCGGAGATCTACCTGCCTCTGCCTCCCTAGTGCTAGGATTAAAGGCGTGTGCCACCACCACCTGGCTTAAACCTGTTTCCCTAACTCTGATGCAGCCACACTAGAACATGTGCGTTTCATCCGGGCATTTGTCCGTTAATCTCATAGCCTGCTTTCTCACTTAATTCAAATACCTGCTCAGAGAATCAGCCCTCTCCCCAGCCACCCACTCTGTTTATCCCCATGTCTTTCTTCATAGCACGAACGCAACTGGGCATTGTCTTGCTGCTTATCTCTTCTAACCACTTCACTAGAACATTCCATGAGAGCCAAGAGCTCTGTCTGCTGGTCTTTCACGCTGTTCCCACAGCGCCAGGTCTTTTGTGAGCTGTTGTCCTGCCCTGCTTACCGGCGATGGAGACAGGCCGTGGATGTTCCTGATGAGTCTTCTCAGGTCTTTGAGAAGCCTGGGATTGTTTGCCAAGCACAGAGTCTCATGTGGGATATAGAACTTGTGAAGCACCTGGAAAGTCTTGCACATAAGTTCCCTCTCCGTGGTGTTCTGCCAAGGGAAATGATACAGGAAGCTGTTGGCTGCTTAGCTTGGAATTTGAGTGGAGATTTTCCTACCCCAGGGGTGGATCTGCTAAGCTTGGGATCTCTATGCAAGTATTTCTACAGAATTTCCCAGGTTCTTTTCCATGGAGGGTTTCGTTGAAAGGGTTCCTTCAGTAAAGTCACCCACCTAGGTCAATGGCAGAGTGTGGAGGACCCATCCACATCCTCAGTCCCCATCTTTCTACCCTGTGGGCTCTCCTGTCTGCCCAAGGTGCCCACATGAGCTCTTAGCCAGCTGTGGCTCTTGTTCCTCCATGGTCCTGGAGACTCCATGTTTGCTGATGGCCTGCTGGGAGCACACAGCCCTACCCAAGGAGAAAGCAGTATCTGGACACGCTTATAGTCTCGATGGAGGGCTAAGGCATGTCCCCCAGAAAGCTAGAGATAGGAACCCAGTCAGTGGCCGGGAAGGGCTTCTAGGAGAGGGTGCCATTGTCCTGGGCCTTGGTTGGGGCTTCTGAGAGGAGCCTTTGTTTGTCATTGGTAGACATAAGAGCTCCCGGCTCTTCCCAAGGACTCGGGTCTCAGAAGACAGAAGGCACCAGTGGGAAACCGGGGGGCAGGATGGGCTCTGTCTTCCCAGGCCTCAGGTTTCCTCTGGCTTCCCCTGAAGCTCGCACAGATCATGGAGAGTGTCAGCGTGAGTCAGTGTCTGTATCCCACTGAGAGAAACTGCCACTACCTATGCCATGATGTGTGCTCAACCCTGGCTACCCCGCAGCTTGCACCATGGTCTGACATCACCAGGAGCCTGGCAGTGACTCTCACGGTCCACTCTCAGCCCACTGAGCCAGGATGTACCCTGAGGACACCAGGCGATGCACTGCCCAGGCAGCTTCTAGCTGTTTTCACTTCTCACAGTTGCCTAATTTTTTCCTGACTATTTTTGGTATACTTAACAAAAATGAATTCACTTATCCCACTAGCCAAAGGTAACCCTTCTACTGGTAGTTTTTGGGTAAATATCAGGAATGGGGATGAACTCAGTGGCAGGGTACTTGCCTAGTGTGTGTGAGGGCCAGGTTCAGTCTCCAGTATAGAAAAAGAAAATACCGGGGCTGGAGAGATGGCTCAGTGGTTAAGAGGATTGACTGCTCTTCCAGAGGTCCTGAGTTCAATTCTCAGCAACCATATGGTGGCTCACAACCACCAGTAATAAGATCTGGTGCCAACTTCTGTCTGCAGGGACACATGCAGGCAGACCATTGTATATATAATAAATAAATCCTTTTTTAAAAAAAAGAAAAAGAAAATACCAAATATCTTACTAGAGTCTTGTTGGGTTTAAGACAGGATCTCACTGTGCACTCCTGGCTGGCCTAGAACTCACAGAGATCCATCTGCCTCTTCCTCCTGCGCTGGGATTTAAAGGCATGTGCTACCACACTGGCTCATCAGTATGTAGTCTCTAAAAATAACTAAATTCAAAATGGAAAGAGACTACGCAATTGGGGGAAACTTCAAAAAAGCTGGTCTCAAAGGTGGCTTTAGCCAGGGACCTTCGAGTTTTAGTTCCATCGATTTTGCCACCAAAGACGACACCCCACCCCACCTGCCTATTGTGTGTGTTTGCAGGAGAAAGTCCTGCCTGGCAGGTGTAGCTGCGGCTCAGGGAACACACGGTGACAGGCAGCCAGCCTTGCACCTCGCTCCTTACCACAAGTGAGTCTGTGGCTCACAAGAATGGCAGGAAACGGCTACCAAGGAGGCGTCTTCTGTGGTAGCAACTGTTTCAGGGTCCCCACCAGGTCTCCACCAGCCTTGGTTAGGCCCAAGAAAATCGAATCCTATCCCTATTGCTTTCCTTTATCTCTAGCTGGGCCCAGATCTAATCAGCCAGTGCTTGAGATGAGGTAACCCTTTAAAGCAAACAAGTGGGAAGGGAGGAGATGGCCCAGTGGCTAGAGAGCTTGCCTGGCAAGTGTAAGGGCCCTGGTTCAGTCCTCAGAACCCATGCACTTTTTAAAAAGACTGGATGTGGCTGGAGAGCCAGGGACAGGAGGATCCCTGAGGTTCAGGGGGCAGCCAGTCTAGCCTACTTGCCAAGCTCCAGGCCAATGAGAATCTGTCTTTTAAAAAATGAAAAAGCAACAATATAGAGGGTGCCACTACATGCATCCACATGCATATATGTAAACATACACACATGCTTGAATACACACACACCTTCCAAGCATCTCAAGGGCTTCTGTCTTTAATTTTATTTTGTAAAGAAGAAATACTCAGCAGGGTGGTAGTGGCGCACACCTTTAATCCCAGCACTCAGGAGGCAGAGGCAGGCGGATCTCTGTGAGTTTGAGGCCAACCTGGTCTAGAAGAGCTAGTTCCAGGACAGGCACCAAAGCTACAGAGAAACCCTGTCTCAAAAAAAAAAAAAAAAAAAAAAAAGGCAAAACAAAACAAAAATATCCCAGCCGCTGATGGGCCACCCAGAGGCCCTTCACAGAACAGCCAGCTTGGTGCTTGTCTCTTGCTTTTCCCCAGGTGACCACTGTCAGTGTTGAAGCCAGAGTTGTCTGTGACACCAGGGATCTATCTCAGAGTGGTCTCCCTACCGTCAGCTGCGTGCTGCCCAGCTTACAGAGGCTGTGAGCTTTGATCCCCCTCCCCCGAAAGTTAAATTATAGATTTTAGAAAGGTAGTCTCTTTGGGAACCCCAAGGAAGTAGTCCCCCTCAAACCGATTTTGTGGACTCTAGAGAATAACCTTTCCCTGATCAGAAATACCACACTCTGAAAGTAAGCAAGGCCGAGTCTTCGGGGGACAGACAAAAACAGGAGGAAGGGGAACAAAACCAGGAGGCCTGAGGATTTGGAGGGAGCCCATGAGACGGGGGTGCGACAGAAGTCAGGGAAGGCACTGAAGCATTTGGGGGAGCCCATGAGACGGGGGTGCGACAGAAGTCAGGGAAGGCCTGTTTTCAAGCACACGAAAGTGTGGGGCAGACTGAGGAAGAACAAAGCCAGCGTGGGGTAGGGGTGGGAGCAGGGGGGGGCACACAGTGGTCTAGATGCGGCCTACAATGAGTAGCCCCAGGCTTGGAGCCATGGAGGCTCAGCCGGCAGGCTGACGGTCTTCCTTAGACTCGTCGCTTCCCTGCAGCAGGGCTGTGCACTTGGTCACACAAACACTTTCAGCTAAATTCCTAGAACTAGCCTCCACCCGGCCCTCATATGACGTTCAGAATCAACCTTTGTGTCTCCACATGTGGATGGTGAGACATATATGAAGATCTGCCAAAAGCCAGATGCCCAGCGAATGGCAGAACCGCAGCCAAAACCAAAGGTTCTCACAGCCAGGCCTGGCACTCCCTTTAGGCCCAGTTCTCAGGAGCCGGTCCCTGCCCTGGGCTTTGCTAGGACAGGACAGTAGATCTGGCTCCTGGCTGGAAGGACTCAGAGAATCAATAAATAATTAAGGTTACATAGCTACTAAACAATGAGATACATATGCACGCACACATATATAGATAGATAGACATGTAGATCACACATGCATGCATGTGAATGTTTAATATATACATACATGTACATTTGTCCTTCAGAAACATCCTGGAGTAATCTTGAATAAAATGAGATCATCCAGACCAATGTCCTCATGTAAATGAGGCCTGGGTGCTGGCCTGCGACCCTGACTACCCCAGAGCTGCACTCCCGACCTCGCCCCCGTTCGGCACACGTGGGAAGCAGGCAGTAGGGAGACCACTGGTAAATCAAGGCTTTGGGGCTTTCATTCTCACTTGTGTGTTTCCATGAAAACAGGAACTGAAGAGCACAGAGCTATTGATACGGAGGTAGCCAGTCATGTGTTTGTCAGAGAAAATGCACTATCAGCTGTCACATCTGTCCCCTCCCACTACAGATGGAGGGCTTGGGGCAGGCAGTGCAGGAGGCAGAGAGGGGAGCTAGATGCCCAAGCAGAGCCGGGATGGTCAGACTCCAGCCAGCAGGCAGTTCCAGACTAGGCTGAGGGGCACTGGGGTGGGGCAGAGTGAGCTGAGGATCCACACAGAGGGCCACCGTCCCAGCTGGCTGTTAGGTGACCAGGCTGAGAAAGAGGAGATCTAGTGGTGCCGTAGGAAGTCTCTTAGACAAAGCGAAAGCCTTCTCAGCCTGTAATCTCCATATCTGTTTTTGAGAGTATTTGGTTTTTCAGAAATGCATGGGCCAAAGAGAGAGAGAGAGGGAGAGGGAGAGAGGAGAGAGAGGAGAAAGAGGAGAGAGAGAAAGACAGAGAGGGAGAGAGAGGGAGGGAGAAAGACAGGGAGAGAGAGAAAAGAGAGAGAGGAGAGAGAGAAAGAGAGAGAGGGAGGGAGAGAGAGAAAGGGAGAGAGGGAGAGAGGGAGAGAGAGAGAGAGAGGAAAGAGAGAGAGAGGAGAGAGAGAGAGAGAATTCTCAACAGACACATTGTGAGCCTCCTAGGTTATAGATACCGCCGAAACCTGGGTAGGGCTCTAGCACCCCTGCACCTGACTTAGGAAGACACATCCACTCGTTCTATAACGCTTTCGAAGTCTAGTCAAACCCGAAACTGCAAACTACACTGGAGTAAGAGCCTCCACGGTGTCTGTCTAAAAGTCCCTCCTTTAGGCCTGCCAGTTTTCTGTCACCGAAGTTTCTCATTCAGACTTGTGGGAAACCCTCCTCTCCCACCTCCCACAGATGCCGAAGCAGACCCCAGGGCTCCACTCACGTTTCTCGCTGTAAGGATGTCTGAGACGTTCATTCTGTCGGTGCATGGCGTCTTGACACAGACAGGATGAAAAGATAAGCGTCAAATCCAAGCAGGACAGAGAAATCATCCATACTCCTCTCACTCCCCTACCCCAAGGAAACTCCCTGCTGCCTCGCAGTTGGAAGTAGCGGGATCTCCTGAAGTCTGGCTATGTCCTTAGTCCTGCCCCAACCACCAGCCACTGGCTTCTCTATCAATTCGGTTCTACTAGCCTAGAACCACCGGCAGTATCACCTGATCGACTGGGGAGATGGTGCCAGATAGATACTCACCCCTTTGTCTGTGACCTGGTTCAAAATGTGGATGGTCTCTTTCAAGGCTCTGCCGTTGCATCCGTGGGTAGAGTTCCCAGTACATGCTAGAAGGCAGAGCAAGATAGCAACTCCCTGGGGGCTGAGACCCATCAATAGATCTCCACTGTCAGTGATGGGCGACAATTAAGTTTATCAAGCGACGCTAACAATGCAATTCTGACAGAGATATCTCTATATATAGTGTTAAAATTGCTGAAACCAAGGGAAAATGAGTTTACGCTGGAAATTTTTGTTATACCAGATTGTCAGTTATTTTGGGCCAATCAGCACCTCTCTTCCAGGAGAAAAAATGCCTCAGAGAAAACAGGTAAATTTTCCTGTGAAATCAGACCAATTGGAAAACGAAACCCTTAAAAAAAAATCTACAAAGTTTCAGCATAGGAAATTACACCATCCTCGGCCCTGTAGCCTTATCTTATCAGCGTGGGGTTGCCACTGGCTTTGCTTTTGCACAGAAGGAAGAGGTCGCAGGTGTCCGAGCCTGCTGGTGCCGTCCTGGGGAAAAGACATAGTAATATCAAGAAAGTCTGGCGTGCGTGGCATCTGGGTTTGGCTGCTTCCTGCTTTGGGGGCACCTTGGAAACTCTGGTGTCTTGGGAAGGCTGACTCTGGGTTCTTCGCTGATAGGGGGATGACGGAGGCAGAACTTCTGTTCTAGTTCAGCTGGTCTTAAAAGTTTGAGGCCTTGCTGACCCCAGGGTCTGAGTCGCCGTTGCCGCTGCTGCCACCATCCGCGAGGCAGGCGAGAGGGGGGGAAGAGTGCAGCGCGGCGGCCCCGGGGCCGAGGAGGGACCCAGATATGGAGCTGCGGGAAGAAGCTTGGTCTCCGGGGCCGCTGGATTCTGAGGATCAGCAGATGGCCAGTCATGAGAACCCAGGAGCACTGTGGCTGCTTTACAGGCACTCCTCACATCAGGAGTGGCCCCCAAACTCATGTTCTGGAAGTTGTAATGAATGAGTGAAGTACTAGGAAGGGGAATCTAGTCATGTGGTTACAGTCCATCATGGCGTGAACAGGGGCAGGAGCTTGAAACATCTAGTCACAGACATCCACAGTCGACAGCTGAGAGAAATAAATGCATGTTTGCTTGCCAAAAAAAAAAAAAAAAAAAAAAAAAAAAAGTTTGAGGCCTTTGGAGACAGGTGACATCAAGTAGGGCCTTGTTTGGGAGGAGCAGGACCATGAAGTCTTTACAAATACGGAGGTCCTGGGGAAGACTGACAGTTACCCCTCCCGAGGTAGAAGTTTGAGAAACAGTTGCTTTTTAAAAAAATGTTTTAAGGAGGTACAGAGATGGCTCAATGATTAAGAGCACTGACTGTTCTTCCAGAGGACCTGGGTTCAATTCCCAGCACCTACATGGTGGCTCACAAGCATCTATAACTTTAAATTAAAACAAAACTAAAAGCCAATGATTGTTAAAAATAAAAATGTTGGGCTGGAGAGATGGCTCAGAGGTTAAGAGAACTGACTGCTGTTCTGGAGGTTCTGAGTTCAATTCCCAGCAACCACATGATGGCTCACAACCATCTATAATGAGATCTGGTGCCCAGAACACTATATATACATAATAAATAAATTTTAAAAAAATTTAAAAAAGGAAAAAAAAGTTTAAGAAATAAAAACAAAAATAAAAAATTTAAACAGAGAGACACCCTGTCTCAAAAAAGAAAGTTTTACAGATTAAGCATTTATTTTGTGTGTGTGCGTATCTGTGCATCCTATACAGCGTGAGTGTGCAGGTCAGAGGGTGGCCTGGGGGAGCAATCAGTTCTTTCCTTCCACTATGCAGGGTCCTGGGAAGTGAATTCCGGTTTGCTGGCTTGGCGGCAGGCGCCTTTCCCTACTAAGCCATTTCACTGGCCTGAGAATGGCTGGCTGCTTTTCAGGGAACTTAAACATGTCCCAGCTAATCAGAAAACAGCCAGCTGAGTCTCCCCACTTCCCCAGCTGTCTTAATCTAATGAGTCTGGGCCCTGGTGAGGGGCCCATGGCCCCACACCAGCAGTAAACACACTGACCCTGCAGTGTGCCTACAAGTGAAGGTCTCTTTGCTGTTGTGACCGCCTCGTCCAGCAAGGATGATGTGACACCGGAGCTCTTCTTGTAGCAGTTTTATTCAGGACCTTTTTAACAATGCATTTTCTCTCTCTCTCTCTCTCTCTCTCTCTCTCTCTCTCTCTCTCTCTCTTTCTCTCTCCCCCCTCCCCCCCCAAAGCCTCTCCCAGCCCTTAAATAGGCCTGGTCCGCCAACCCCGGATTGCCAGGTGGGCACTGCCCATAGGTCCAGGCATATGCAAGCAGTCAGGCCCTAGCCACACCAGGAGTTAATTATCGCCATCAGGTGCGGCTCCACGCAGCTCTCTACAGTTCCCCCTTTTTGTTTTGTAAAGCAACAGGCAAGAGTAGAGGTCTGATCTCTGTTAAAAATGGAACATGTACTAGTGTCTGTCCAGGTGCCATCCACTCAGAGAACACTAGTCCTTTTACAGAGGTGGGAGTTAGACACCAACCCACATGCAATCAGACTTGCTCTTCTTGAGGTTGACTTCTCTGACCTCAAGTGCAGTGCACAAGCCTCGCATCCTGTGCTCAAATATAGATAACCAAGCTTGAGGAGGCTGTCCTGCTTCAATGGCCGTGAAGGCCTGAATGATCATAACTGCATTGCGATGCTGTGAAACCCTTATGTGACAAATACACCATAGGCATACCAGGGAGGCAAGCACCATTAAGCCTGTTAGGGCTCCTATCCCGCCCACTCCTTCAGATGATCCACAGCTGTAGTGATCCAGGAGGATAGTCCTTCTGCCAGGCTGGTATCCATGCCTGTGGAATTTGCAGTCACAATCGCCACTCGCAGCTTTTTCAGTTGTTGTTCAAATTCACCAGACCAATTACCTAAAAGATATCTAGATAATTCTTTAGATAAATTAGCTGCAAGAGTAAATTTTTCATATTGAATACTGGTAACTCACAGCCCAGGAAATTTCCATTCACAGCCAAGCTGAGCCAATTGCCAGAGGACATCTGTTCTTGAACCAAATCTATGCGTTGGTTAACTACCATTAACCCACCTTTGAGTTGACTATCTTTGCTGGAACATGCCTTGAAATTATTTTTCTGAACCCGCCACATCAGGGGAAAAAGTGAATTTCTGACCCTTATCTGCCCACCTCAGTCCCCAAGAATGCCCCCTTTATTGTGTTCAGGGGCAGATTATATAGAGATAGCCACGCCCCAGCCAAACCCACCAGAAACCACTCTCCTGCCATCAGGAACTCCTGAAGGTCTTGTGCTCAGAGCAGCTGTAGGAGAGACTGTTGGTTAGGGAATTTGGGTGTTGTCAATTTGTCTGGCTACTTCTTGCTGAATGGGGACGCTGCATTCTTGTGTGTGGAATTTACTGCAATTTACTGTCATTTTCCAGCCGAGCTGGGACGTGGGGAGAGGCAGAGACTCCACCTCCCCACCGAGCTGGAAGGTGGAGGCGGGGCGCCCGGACCCCTTCAGGATGGGGCGGATCCCATTCCGGCCAGTTGCCCTGGGCTGGGGCAGAGGTCCAGGCCCTGTCACGGTCCTGCTGCGCTTCTACGCCCTGAGGCAGGTCCCGGGTGTTTGCGTGCTTGCACTCCACTGCAAACTCTGGAGGTCTCAGTAACTCAAACCACATGAATCTAACTCCCTTCCTTAGCGTACCTTGTTCGGCGGCAAAATCCAGATGTCTACCAAGCTTGTCCCAGGATGACACATTAAGATTGCCAGAGGCGGCAAACCAAGGGGCAATTGTGTCACATTCAACCAAAAACCTCTCCAAAGCGCTCTGTAACAGCTCGTTAAGAGCCAGAAAAATCAGGTGTGATGTTGAAGCACCCATTCTAAAATCCCATTCTTTTAGTTTCACTTTGAGCCGTCCACTCTTGTCGTGGCTCTGTTACCCCGCTCTCCCTTCTTCTACCAGCGAGAGCGGAAAACCTGCTTTTTGTCGTGGTTCCTCAATCTTTACCTGAGGAATGTCCCATGCACCTGACTGCAGCAAGTTCTGAGCTCCACGGAGAGAGGTTTGGCGGTTCGCCATACGAGGCCACCACTTGTCCCCTACGGGCTACCATTTGTCACAACCGCCTCATCCAGCAAGGATGACGCGACACCAGAGCTCTTCTTGCAGCAGTTTTATTCAGGACCTTTTTAACAATGCGTGTTCTCTCTCTCTCTCTCTCTCTCTCTCTCTCTCTCTCTCTCTCCCTCCCTCTCTCTCTCTCTCCCCCCCCTCTC